TAAGTTATAGAATCCAATATTAATGAAAGCGCTTTAAAGAATTAAATATAATTTTAAGGCCTTTAATTATCTTATTAAAATAAGAATAGGTCTAGTTTTACTAAGAGAGTATATCTATACGATATACTACTTAGAGCTTAGTTAATGATAGATTAATATAACTAAATTCGGTTATAGTTAAATAAAGGAACGATTTAAATATAATAGTGTATTTATAGTAAGAATATTACTATATAATATACTATTATAGAATTATTATTATTATTATTATTATTATTATAATAATAATGATAGTAGATACTATATTTTAAGTATTAATCTACCTTTTACTACTTTTAAAAAGCTTTTTTAATAATATAGCTATATATTTATAATCTTATAAGGCTTATATTTTAAGTGTATCTTAATAGTAGTATCCTGTATGAATATCGTATAATTATCTATATATATTATACCTTTAATATAATATAACCTGTTACTTATATTATAATATCTTATTTAAAATATTAGAATTATATATTTAATATTATATAATATAGTATTATTTTATAATATAGAATATTAAATATATATAGGTATTTATATATACCCTTTCCGCTATATTACTATAACAGATTATATTATACGATAGTATACGTACGTGTACGCTAGCTAGTCAGTTCTCTTTTTATCTTAGTAAATATCTTTATTACTAGGCGAACTCTATTCTGTCTCCGGATAACCCTTTACGAGCGCGTATTACACTTTCTAATCATTTCTAGACTCCTTCTATTATACAAGGTAAATACTTTAACCTAAAACCCCTACGCGATAAGATATATCGCCGCTACGAAAAAGGTTATACCGATTAGGCTTTATACCATTTCGTGGAAGAGCAGATAGGTAAAGCGGTAATACGCTAGACTTTATAGCGTTATTATAAGGTATAGGGCCTATGTAAAGAGACTCGTACGCTTATTACCGATAATCTTATTCGCCGTATTCACACGCTTTTCTTTAACATATTTAACGACGATAAGATACTCTATCAGCTCTAAGCCGAAGGCTTCTAGATCTTAAGGAGAGGTCTTAAACGAATCCGCAGATATTAGCGCCTTTAGAGACGTTAAGATACAGAATAAATCGAAGCCGAACGCTAGCGTATAAAGCTATTCTTCGAAAAGAAAGACCTTACGGTATTATTTATAAGATGCCTAGGTAAAGTATAGCTCTACACGTTTATACGCTAATAAGGTTTTATTATTAGCGTATATAAGCTATACCGTATATTTATAGAACTATTTCCTAAAGATATGGCGGTAAGGTATAAGGAGATACGCTACCGTTAAAAAGGCTAAATAACGCTAGGACCTAATTTTATTTAGTCTATAGATATATACGATAAGTTATTACCCTTCGGCTTTAAAATATACGTAGAGATAAACGCGTACTCGAGGTTTATAACTTAGTTCTATATAGGCGTATCGGCGTATATATCTAAAAATATACTCGCTTAGTATATAAAGGTTATTCAGTAAGTTAGCTTTATCCCGTAATTAATCCGTTCCGACTAAGGTAAAGAAACGACGCTTATAGCCGGCGGCCACTAGTTTCTTTCCGCCGGCTCTTATATAAAGATAAACGTTACTAGATAAAAGGTTCTAATTAAGTTTAAAGATTACTAGGTATTTAGTAAAAGTATCTATAATTAACGGATTAAATTATAGTAGAATAGACTTTACTAATCTCGTGCGGCTTTTTAGCGTATAAGTATTTAGTGTTTTTTCTATTTTTAGTACTTTTTACTAATTCTTCTAGGAATTCTTTATATATCTTTCCGAATACGGCCTTTTCGATCCTTATTCTATTATCGATAAAATTACCCTTCTCTACGTTTATAGACCTCTAATTTAGACGGATTTTACCCGCTTTATATAAATATATAACTACTATATAATTCGTGCCTAACTATCTACGCTATATATTATAAGCGGAAAGCCCTAGGCCCTTTACTACTAGAGTAGTCCTAACCTTTACGTTTAGGTTAATCCTGTACGGCTTCGTATATTAGAAAATGTTCTTATAGATAAGCTAGTAAGCCTTAAGTAATATCTTCTATAAATAATAATAGAAATTTATAGTAGTATAGAAGCCACGGCGATAAGTCTACTAGAAATTCTTACTATAAAAGGTAAGTAGTGTCCTTCGCTGCTTTTATACGAGTATATATAAAAGGGGTTATACTTATACGATTAGGAGAAGAAAGAACCTATTCTTATAATACTTTCTATGCTACGGGGTAGTATTATTTCGGTTAAAGAGTTTTTCAGAAATAAGGGGATTAGAACTAAGGATCTAGTAGTAGATAAAATTATAAGTGATAAAGACTATAGCGAATAAATAATTCAAATTTTCTGCCTTCTAACTATTTATAAATATATTTACTTTATTAATCTATTTAGCCTTCTACTTTCAAGATTATACGCTTCCGTCTAGCCGAAGATAATACTATTCGGTCGCGTAGATCTATTATTAAGGCCGGTATAATAACTTTACGAGATTAGCGCGGCTTATATTCCACTAGTTCCTTATTTTCTTCTTTTAATTCCACTTATTCGTCGTTTTCTTACTTTAATTCTATCTATTTCTCTTTTTCTTTCTTTAGCTCTGGCTAGCTAGTATTAGCTAGCTATAATCCTTCTTACTCTTTATCGGTAGCCTTTCCTTTACCTTTATTCTTTTCCGCGCGAGGCCGCTTAGTGATTTCTTTCTTCACCGTAATTAGAATATTTTCTTCTTCCTCCGGCTCTTTTTATATAGTTATTTTTCGGCCCGCGCGCTTACGAGAAATATTAGAGTTAACTTAGTCGGCTTCGACTTCCGTTATACGAAGAAAACTAAGATAAACTTCTTTTAAAAGTCTAATTCCAGACTCGCGTAATAGTATACGTAAAATAATAGTTATATATATCTCGCTTCGATAAAAGTCGACTTTTTACGGGTTCTTATCGTTATAGGGGAAAACCGTAAGGTCTCGGTTAAACTATTCTTTCTTCGTATTAAACTATATAATAATATAATGTATAAGATCTTAATACGTGGGTAATACTAGGTCGAGTAAAATAATAACTCGGCCTATAACCTTTTATCCGAGTATATTTATAAATCTTTAAAAGGAGATACCGCCGCTTAAGACTATATAATACTCGCCGCTATATAACGTAATACTAATTTCCTTTATCGGTATGGGTTACTTTTCCTTACTAGTTTACGCGATACTGATTTTTCGCTCCGTCTTACTAAGCCGTAGCGCCCGTATTAGTATTTAATCTTACCAGGCTCTAGACGCCTACACGGCCCTAGTTTCCGTCTTAGGCTTTTATTCCCTTCTAGGTGGTGTTAATTCAGTTAAATTAATAATAGACCTATCCGAAAAGACTAGTGAAGTTTCTTTTTTAACCCGGCTAATAGTGTTAGGAGATAAACTATAGCTTAGGCAGACCGCCTAATAGAGATTTCGATTAAATAGAAGTATATATTTAATATTTAGAAAAGAGTAGAGTAAAAAGACGTCCTCCGTTATTATATCGATAATAAGATTATCGCGTTAAATTATTTATAATAGAAAGATACTACTAGTAAGTACCGTAAATACTTACGTGACATTATATAATAGCTTTTAAGATAATTATATTTATACGGGCTTTGGATATAAGAGCTAGTAAGTACCGTAAATGCTTACGCGGTATTATATAGCAGGTTATAAGAAATTCTTATTTATATAGGCTTTATACGTAATAGTTATAGGCGAAATTATTAACTTACTATTTACTATCTTCTAATATATAAAGGTAAATAGTACTACTAAGCCTACCTTCGGCGTATACCTAGTAATACGTTATTACTATTTTTAGAAGTTGTTATAGTGTCCCCTGCGGTATACGGTACCTACCTAAGGTAGGTATGTACCTTGGTACTTCTGGGGAAGACGCTCGACGCTGCGGGGCACGAGTTTTCTCATTGGCTCATCTCCTTGTCGATCAGCGCACGTGCGTCAGTTACGTACCGGTACCAGTACATTGGGTCCCCAACGGGAGAAGCAAATTCTATTCTCTCGCCTCTTCTCTACACTACCTGGTACCTTATTTCGTACGAATACACGTTCTTATTACCTACCTACTTCCTCCATCAGCCACGACTGACCAAGGCTAATCTGGGCATTCAATGTGCTTGCCAAAACGGAAATACCTTTTTTTCCCTCTCGAATCTGTCGAAGAAGTATTCCAGGTTCTCCTATGGTGAACATGCTGCTACTGTACTCTCCGGCGCGCCTGCGTATTCAGTCCATCCCCTGTGGTCTCTCTCGGCGATCCCACCTGTTCGACTCCATAACACCACAGATTGGAAGCAAACATACAATACCCGTGTCGCTTCTTCTCGTATTCCTTGTGACATGAACACAGCATGCCCCTGGTGGCATCCGACGGGAAGGCTATGGATTCACTTTGGGAGGGAATACCAAAAGTTACCTAGTAAATATGGATCTGACCACCCGTTGTCCATTCTAGGAGGCTTAAGGTCAAGCCAAAAGACACTAGCAAACAAACCCGTCCTTCTCCCTGCGTCTCGATATCCGTCTTCCCCCCCGCCGTCCCCCCGCGAAACGTTTCTCCGCGCCCCCTTATCTGTTCAGCACAAGCCCGGCTCCGTCCCACGCAAGGTAGCAAGCTCGTCACACGCGATCACTAACCATGTCCAACTTGGTCCCACAGCGGCGAACGGCGATAGGAAAGGGGAGAAGTTGTGTTGTTCTTTTCGTCTTACGTTGTACTCGACTGCGGTACATGAAGCATGCCCGCCCTGCCGCCCGCCATCTATAGCCCCCCTTCTTCTCTTCTTCTACTTTTCGGTATCTCCCGCTCTCATCACACTCTCCCAAGAACGTGTCGACCTCTCCTGATCTGTTGTTCTCATCGTACGAGTAACTACCCGGAGTTCAAGTCGACAACAGTCACAACACCATGAGCCAGAATCACGCTCTAGTATACGGTTCGTAGTGATTGATGCATGATGTGCTCCTCCCGGACTTGAACTTCCTCCCTTCTCTGACTGAACGTCTCTGCAGGTGGCAGCGGCATCACCGGCTGGGCCATCACCAACGCCATCTTGAACGGCTACCCTACCCCGGGCAGCTTCGCGTCCGTCACGGCCCTCACCAACCGACCGCTCGACACCGAGGCCGCCCTTTGGCCCAAGTCCGACAAGCTTCATGTCGCCACCGGCATCGACATCTTGACCCCCAAGGGGCAAGAGGGTCTCGAGGCTGACCTTAAGGAGAAGGTCAAGAACATTAACCAAATCAGCCATGTCTACTTCTTCGGTATGTCGCAACAACACGGGAAGGGACATGGCAGAAGGGAACAAGAGAAGAGCTAATGGATGCCTGGGTGCATATAGCGTACATCATGGACACCGACCCGGTAAAGGAGTGCCAGATCAACAAGGAGCTCATCAGGCGCGCCGTCGCCGCCGTCGAGAACCTGTCGCCCAACCTCAAGTTCGTGGTCCTCCCGACCGGCACCAAAGCCTACGGCGTGCACCTGCTCGACGACTTCCCCTTCAAGAATGACCTGCCGCTGCGCGAGTCGCTGCCGCGCATCCCCGAGCCCTACGCCAGCCAGATGTTCTACTACGACCAGACCGACATGCTCACGGAGATGGCCAAGGGCAAGGCCTGGACCTGGTGCGAGGTCATCCCGGACAACATCATCGGCTTCGTGCCCAACAACAACATTTATTGCTTGGCCCAGACGGTCGGCACCTACCTGGCGCTCTACCGCGACATCAACGGCGAAGGGGCCGAGGTCGCCTTCCCCGGCACGGAGAAGTCGTGGCGCAACAGCAGCAACGAGAGCAACCAGGACGTCGTGGCCAAGGTGTGCATCTGGGCGTCGCTGCAACTGGAGACGTCGGCCGAGCAGCGCTACAACGCGGCCGACAGCGCCACCCCGTCGTCGTGGAGCGCCAAGTGGCCCGTCATCTGCGAGTACTTCGGCCTCAAGGGCACGCCCCCGCCGCCCGGCGGCTCAGGGCCCCAGCCGGCCCAGTACCTGGCCGATCACTACGAGGAGTGGAAGGCACTCGAGAAGAAGCACGGTCTGGTCACCGGTCGGGTGGGGAACAACCGCAACTTCGGGCCTTTCGCGCACTTCATCATGGCTATGCTGGATTTCGATCGCAACATGGACATGTCCAAGTGTCATGCCATGTGGGGTGAGGGAAAGGAGGAGGTTGACACCAAGCAGTCATGGTGGACTACGCTTGACAGGTTCAGGAAGGCCAAGATTATCCCGTAGAGGGGGCGGCTGCGCGAGGGGGAAGAAGAAATGAAGGGAATGAAGAGCATTATGAGGGGAAGACTTTTTACGATGTAGGTTTTAGTTGATTGTGACGTGACACCGCATACCTTAGTTTGCTGAGGAATGATATGCATGGTCCCATTCACGTGGCACGAATATGCAAACTTGCCTACTGATATTATCTTCTCTCTTCCTTTTCCTTCCTCTGATATCTTTCTTTTTTTTTTCTTTTTTTCTTTTTTTTTTTTTCTTTTTTTCTTTTTCAGAGAATGACAACGATTACCTATTAATGAATGAGTGAATAGTATGTGTGCAAATTATAGGGCATTTGGACGAGACAGGCAAATTCAGTAATGTATCGTTCCCGTCTCTCGAACCCGGGTCCTTCTCCGCATATCCTCCCCCACCTCAGATGTACCGAAAAATACTGGACTAATTACTCAGTAGTTTGTTTGTTTCCCAAAAGAGCTGGCCAATCACACGTAATAGCCCCATACCCGCATTTCCGTTTTAGGATCCATAAGTTGGAGACGGAAGCAGGGGTAGCTGCAGTACATACAAAGGTACTGCACTTCTCAGTCCCCATATTTGTGCAGGTACTTTCAATAATGTACTTGTGGAGATGCCGCGGCTCAATGCGGGGAGGAACATGACTTCCAGCCGAAACCTCCAAACACCGTCAACTGCTCTACTTTTTCACTATTGCCGACAATCCCAGGGACCAAGGCCTCTCTGTCATGACCTGATGACCGCTAACCTCGTTCGTTTTACCCATTCAGCTTCTGGCTCGGCTTGTGATCGCCATCTTGCATAGCCATACTATTAGACATACAAAGCTTTGGTAGAATTCATGTTCCCATACTTTTTTTGCATCCTCACCTTCAGCAACAAGTTACAACCACCCCCTTCTTTTTTATCTTCTTTCTTGACCAATTTATTCGTCCCTAGTTGATCTTCAATTTATTTCCCTTCTCCCTCGCCTGGTCTGCACCTATACCCCAAACAAACACATCACCAACAATGTCCCCTACGCCATCATCAGTAGACAACCCGGCCCTCCAGGGCCCGGCCTTCCAACGGCTACCGCCCTGGGTCAAGGCCAAGTTGTCGCCTCTGGCCATCGAGAAGATCCAGGCTGTCTACGACTGGGTCGAGAATGAGTGCATTCCCCGCGAGCAGATCATGAAGGCACAGCTGGAAGGCCGCCGCTGGACAACCCCTCCCTTGATGCACGAGCTGCGGGAGAAGGCAAAGGAACGCGGTCTCTTTAATCTGTTCTTGCCCAACCACTTTGCCGAGAGCCCCGGCTTGACCAACCTGGAGTACTCGTGCTGTGCTGAGATTATGGGCCGGTGCTACTGGGCTGCTCAGGTATGAAAAACCCACTTTTCACTGAAGAGAGGGAATACGAAACGTCATGCTAACAAGTATTTCTCGATCCTCTCATGCAGACCATGAACTGCCACGCTCCCGAAACCGGCAACATCGAACTACTGGCCAAGTACTGCACCCCCGAACAGAAGAAGAAGTGGCTGCAGCCTCTGCTCGACGGCACCGCCGCGTCGGCCTACTCCATGACGGAGCCCGACGTCGCCAGCTCGGACGCCACTCAGATCGGCATCTCCGTGCGGCGCGAGGGCGACGAGTACGTCATCAACGGCCGCAAGCTGTACGGCAACTGCCTCTGGAACAAGGAGCTGAGCTTCTACATCCTGATGGGCTGCTCGGACCCGAACCACCCGAACAAGTGGTCGCGCCACACCACGCTCATCGTGCCGTGCAACACGCCGGGCATCACGCAGGTGCGCAACCTGACCATCATGGGCTACGACCACGCGCCCGAGGGCCACGGCGAGTACCGCTACGACAACGTGCGCGTGCCGGCCGAGAACGTCATCCTGGGCGAAGGGCGCGCCTTCGAGATCGCCCAGGGCCGCCTGGGCCCCGGCCGCATCCACCACTGCATGCGGCTGATCGGCCAGACCGAGCGCGCCTACGAACTGGCCCTGCTGCGGTGCAACGACCCGCGCAAGAAGCCCCGCGGCAAGCTGATCGGCGAGTTCGACTCCAACATTGAGCGCATCGCCCAGATGCGGCTCGAGCTGGACGCCATGCGCCTCGTTGTCCTGAACGCCGCTGACACCATGGACCTCCATGGCAACAAGGCCGGTAAGCGAGCCATCGCCCAGAGCAAGATCCTGGTGCCCGAGGTCGCGTGCAAGATCATCGATGAGTGCATGCAGATCTACGGTGGTCAGGGCCTCACCCAGCACACCCCGCTGCCCGAGATGTGGACCTACGCCCGTTTCGTCCGCGTGGCCGATGGCCCCGATGCGGCGCACAGGCATCAGGTTGGACGGGAGGAGATGAAGTCGGCGGAAGCGTTCCGGAAGCGTCACCAGGCGTATCAGGATCAGTATAAGAAGTTGGCGGAGCAGTATGGGGAGAAGTATATTTCTTTTGACTAGATATTGGGTATCTGCATATATGTTTAGAGGGCTTCGTTATTCGTATTTATATATTGCCGTTCTGAAAGCCAATTTTCACCATCATGATTCATCCTCTATGGCTCCCTGTTTCTGTCGTGCAGCTGTGATGACTTGGAGATGAGTAGCTTGATGTGTGCATTATTATGAAGCCATAGTGGTGTCTTACTGTAGAAATGTTCCATCTCTGCTTTGAATAAGGCACCAACCAGGGAATATGGAATCCAATATTTCTGACATGTTCGATTTAATCCTTTTTTATTTCCTTTCAAACATTATCTACAGCTGATGATAGGTCTATTTAAAGGCAATGCCCTGCCTGGTCCGTACCTTGCCCTGTTGCATCTCCGCCACCATGGCCGGGAGCTCCTCCAGGCCCTTCCTGATGTTCACAACGGGCATGATGCCGTGCTCCTCGGTAAAGGCGACAGCCTTGCCCATGCGCTGCGGGATGCTGGTGCTGTCGGACTTGATCTTGTAATTGCCCAGCAGGAGGTCCATGACCTTGACGGGCAGGGGCTCGTCGAGGACGCCGATGATCATGAAGGTGCCGCCGAGGCGAAGGCAGGTGGTAGCGGAGACGAAGGCGGGGCGGACGTTGGTGTAGACAGCGACGGCGTGGACGCCGCCGCCGGTGAGCTTCTTGATCTTGTCGGCCCAGTCCGGGTCGTCGCGGGAGTTGAAGGTAGCCTCGGCGCCCTGCTTCTTGACCTCCTCGAGGTTGGCGTCGGCGACGTCGATGCCGATGACGCGCAGGCCCATGGCGTGGGCGTACTGGGTGGCGAGCTGGCCGAGGCCGCCGCAGCCGACGACGCCGAACCAGTCGCCCTTGTTGAGTTCGCAGCTGTCGACGGAGTGAAAGGCGGTGATGCCGGCGCAGAAGACGGCGCTGGCGGCGTCCATGTTCCATTTCGCCTCGTTCAGCACCACGGCGTTGTGGTAGTCGACCAGGGCGTACTCGGCGAAGAAGCCGTCGGCGGCGAAGCCCTGGAGGAGCTGCTTGCCCGTCTCGCAGTGGAGGTTGTGCACCTGGCAGCCGGCGCAGGTGAAGCAGCAGCCGCGGATGTAGAGGAAGCCGACGGCATCGCCGAGGTTGAAGCCCTTGCCCTCGACCGAGGGGTGGAAGGAGACGATGTGGCCGGCGCCCTCGTGGCCTAGCGTCACGGTCTTCTGGGCGTCTTTGATGGCCATCATGTCACTGTGGCAGAGCGAGGCCGAGCGGATCTTGACGAGGAATTCATTGGGACCCGGCACCGGCACGGGGACCTCGTTTACCACCACCTTCTTCAGGTCCTGTTGTTTTCAGAATCCATGTATGTTAGAAGCCAGGTATCCGGTTTGGTTGAAAGGTATAAGTGCAGAACAATGGGAGAGACATACGACGTCATATTGACCCGCCTTCATGGTCTTGGGGATCTGCGCAACGGAGCCCATGGTTGTGAGGATGGTAGAGTTTGACTGAGTTGAGTGGGATGGAAGTGGAAGGCGTGTTTTGAGGAGGTGGCGACGGTAATGTCACACGAGACGGGAGGTAGGGGGGAGAAGGCTAGGGGTAAGTTTGAGACAGAGACGAAGAGTGGAAGAGAGAGAGAGAGAGATAGAGGGAGAGATGACACTGGATTTGGATGATAAACAACTAATAAGACAAGAAAGGGGATTTGCGAATTACAAGCAGAGGGCGAGCTAGCTATCCTATGGAGTTCCCAAAAGGCTGTTTTGCCCAACATCCACTGGGGCCTACACTACATCTTCCATCTCCTTCTACTGCACGACTCGGGCAGACGTGAATAGGACAACTCCCGACGACTAACCGACGATGCCGTGGTGATGATCCTATTCTCGCAGCCATGGATATTAAAGTGCATCGCATCTCGGAATTGTAAACCCCGTGTCCCTGTGCATTGACGAAGAGGGGTTTATCAAGGAAAAGAATCTGATAGAGGATACAAGGTGGATAGACAGAGAGACGGAGAAACGGAGAGACGGCGGGAACCCTTAGCTGCTCTGAACCATCGTCACATAAGGCGAAGAACCACTCGCGCTCCCCATAGTCCACGTTCATTTCAACTATTTACTTGCTATCTAAGCTGCGAACATTCCCTTCCGGAATCTGGAATCACCCTAGACTAGTAGACCCCACACCAGCATGTAGTACGTGCACCTTTGCAGCCATCGTCCTGCGTTCGAGTCGAGAGACGACACGGGGGAAGCCGTGCATAGTGTGGTGTAGGTGGTGCCCCCTCAACTGTATGTTTTGTCTCAGATACAACGTACCCCGCAACGGGATCACAGACAGGAGATTGTGTTAGTGGCATGCGGAGGCGGGGTAACACTTGGAACACATTTCTTTAGGTAGCAATGAGTAAGTAGGAGGGGAGGGGGGAGATGTCGAGGGTCGAAATGTGGGGTACTGTACGTAGATGGGGAGATGTAGATGAGGGGGAGAGATGGGGGGAGAGATGGGGAGACTTAGGCGGCGTGGTACCTAAAATTAGCGGGCACGGATATCCCCTGTCCTGTACACGCACCAATACCAGGGTTCGCCCCTTACTAGTTCCCTTAAGATCCCTCCCCCAAGCCGTTTTCGGTGCACGATGGGGGTAAAGAGGTAGACTCCGAGTCAGGGTCTTCAGCATGCCCCGACTACCATGACTCGATTAACATAACCGTTCCCATGGAAATCGATAACCTTCAGCCCTTTTACACGAAGTATTCGTACTCTGCACGAACAGACCGCACGCATGACATGTCGAGAACACCATCTCAAGCTAGATCGTCCCTTTCTTGCCTGGCCCGCCGCATAAGCCTGCAGATACAAGTCTGCATCAACGGGCGATAGACGACGCCAACGAAAACCCCGGAGTTAAAGCACCGCGTGGCCGCCACCCCCGAACAAAATAGAAGTAGTTTGTCTGGCTATGTAGGTCCAGTTACATCACGCGAAGTAGAACAAAGACGGGGGGGATACGACGTAATTACATACTTCGTAGCAGTTGAGGGGAGGGGATTTTAGTAAGAGTGAGTAAGAGTGAGGCACATGTGTTGCTTGGAAGCGGGATGACTGGGTAGGATGTTAAGTTGCTGTGGTACTGTCTCGTCTTCCTGCGGGTGTCCGAATACCTAGTACATAAAATACGAATAAGCAATAAGAAAGCCAATACATAAGGTACCGAGAACTGCTCCCTCCCCTCCTCCACTACGTACCTCCCCTCCATATCTACCGACCCTCTACTCCCATAACAACACAACACCTCTTTCACCTCTTACCTTGCATCACTTACTACCGTTTCCTCCCATCAAGACTTCCACGAGCTCCTGCGCGATCTCTCTCCTCTTCCTCTCCAACGCCTCACATCACCTAACAAAATGACCTCCCTGGGTCCCACCCTGAAGGAGAGCGCGAAGAAGCTCGAGTCGTCCTTCAACTGGAGCAAGACCAATCTTCCCAAGCAGCTCTTTATCAACAACGAGGTACGTTAGGAGTGAGGTGGGAACTAAAAGAAAGAAACGGGGAAACAAGCAAGGACCAGACAGTAATCTAACAGCAAAACAGTATGTCGAGTCCAAGAACCCCAAGAAACTGGCGCTCTCCAACCCGGCAGACGGCTCCCTCGTGGCCGACGACGTGGCGCTCGCCGGCGAGGCCGAAGTAGATGCCGCCGTCGCCGCGGCCGAGGCGGCCTTCCCCGCCTGGCGGAAGACCCCGGCCACGGTGCGCCGCGACCTGATGTACAAGCTGGCCGACCTGATCCAGCAAAACGGGCTGGCGCTCGCCGAGCTGACGCGCCTCACGCTGGGCGCGCCGTTCGGGTCGTTCGGGTCGTTCGAGATCAACCTCGCGTGCGAGGCCTTTCGCTACTACGCCGGCTGGACCGACAAGTTCCCGGGCGAGGCGATGCCGCAGGACGACGGCTTCATGAAGATCGTGCGCAACGAGCCCCTCGGCGTGACCTGCGGCATCGTGCCGTGGAACGGGCCCCTGGGCAACGTCGGCATGAAGGCGGGCCCCGCGCTGGCCACGGGCAACTGCTTCATCCTCAAGCCGTCGGAGAAGACGCCCTTCGCGGCCCTCGCCCTGGGCACGCTCATCAAGGAGGCCGGCTTCCCGCCCGGCGTGTTCCAGGTGCTCTCGGGCGACGGCAGCACGGGCGCCCTGCTGGCGAACCACATGCGCGTGCGCAAGGTCAGCTTCACCGGGTCCACCATGACGGGCCGCAAGATCCAGGAGATGGCGGCCAAGAGCAACCTCAAGCGCGTGACGCTCGAGCTGGGCGGCAAGAGCCCCGCCGTCGTGTTCGACGACGCCAACCTCGACAACGCCGTCACCTGGTGCGCCAACGCCATCACCGCCAACACGGGCCAGGTGTGCTTCGCCGCCAGCCGCGTCTACGTGCAGGCCGGCATCTACGACAAGTTCGTCGCCGCCTACAAGAAGGCCATGGCCGACAAGGCCGCCGGCATCGGCCACCCGGACGCCGAGGGCACGTCCATCGGCCCGCTGGTCGACCAGTCCCAGTTCGACCGCGTGCGCGGCTTCATCGAGCGCGGCCAGCAGGGCCAGGGCACGCTGCTGGTGGGCGGCGGCCGCGTCGGCGACAAGGGCTACTTCGTCGAGCCGACCGTGTTCGAGAACGTGGCGCAGGACGCCGAGATTTGCCAGCAGGAGATCTTCGGCCCCGTGGCGGTGCTGAACAAGTTCGAGACCGAGGAGGAGATCATCGAGAAGGCCAACGATACCAACTTTGGTCTCATGGCCGGCGTCTTCACCCAGGACATCAACAAGGCCATGCGCTTCGCCTCGGAAATTGACAGCGGCATGGTCGGCATCAACTGTGTCAGCTTGTGTTTCCTGACTGCTCCCTTTGGTGGCAGCAAGGAGAGCGGCACCGGCCGCGAGAACGCCATCCACGCGCTGCGCATGTTCACCGAGCCCAAGACCGTCATGATCAACCTTACCTATTGAGGCGTTGACGGTGTGGATTAGGGAGATGTCATAGTATAAATAGTAAAATCAAATCAAACCAATTGAAGCAAATGAATACGATATTTGTTCGGATGACTTTGTCGTTGGTTCGGAGGAAGTGACGAAATGAAAAAATAAAAATAAAAAATAAAAAATGGAAAAAGGAAGAAAAAGGAAGAAAAAGGAATGTCCTCACCGATCTGAGCGATACCTAGGTACACCGTATCATTTCAACGTCAATGCCGTCATTGACACTGTTACCCCACTCGGCAGGGTATTCCCATTGGATGCTAACAACTGGATGAAACACCCCCGCCCTGGAAGAAGGTACGTACCATGTGCCCACACAAACGCGCAGGCACACGCGCTTCACTTCACACCTTCACAGCTGCAATTTTCCCATCACCAAAGTTGCCTCGTCAATCGATCATCAACCTCCTCCACACATCGTTGGCAGGACCTACACACATCGCTGGCACGACCCACAGATTGGTATTTATGCCATGTCAGTTCCATGAGATGCATTCCTAACTACCTAGATACGCCAATACAAACACAGATCCCCTAATCACCAACCTAGACCAGTGGATTCCAAGCTCGTACTCACAACCGGGACATCCTGCCCGCTGACAGTCTCGCTCCTCCATCAACTGCAATTTCGACTCCGTTTCTGTTTGACAAAGAAACCGAACATCAGCATCATTCCAAAAAAATTCCACACTGATAAGGGAGGGGAAGACGTACACATATTTTCCTGCGGGAGAGCACAGGAACACAGCCACGCCGGCTATGTCTTCAGGCTCACCCAGACGACGCATCGGGTTGTCCTTGCTCAGACTATCAATACCGCCTAGGTTGCTGATCAGGCCTTGCGCCAGCTTTGACGGGAAGAAGCCCGGCGAGATGATGTTGGAGGTGATGTATCGGGGGCCCAGCTCCACAGCCAGGTTGCGACCCAGGTGCTGGTCAGAGCCGTCAGCATTTTCGTCTTCATATGTCCAATTTGTCACATTCAAACTCACATTTGCAGCCGCCTTGGAAGCGGAGTACATGATGGTGCCGTGCTCTCCAACGTGAGGCACGTTGTTGCCAGCCGTTGAGCTGATGATGAGCACACGGCTGGGGTCGTCCCTGGAAGAGGCTTGTTCTAGGAGAGGTAGAGACCTGAGGGGCGGGCGGGGGGAAGACATCCGACAGTCAGACCGGGCCGTGACAAGTGGGTATGAAGGTACTTTCCACTTACTTCTGAACCAGCTCAAAGACACCCCGGACGTTGAGGTCCAGGATCTTGACGGAGCTGCTGGGCGGGGCGTCCTCGAACTTGGACCCCCACGCGGCGCCGGCATTGCAGACGAGGATGTTCAGGCCCTTGCTCCCGACAATGTCCTTGACCTCGCCCACGAGCCGCACGATGTCCTTGGAGTCGGCCACGTTGGCGGCGATGCCGATCGCCTTGCCCCGGATGCCCGGGAGCCGGTTGAGCTTGTCGACCGCCTGCTGGATGCCCTGCTCGCCCTCCAGCTTGCGCGCCGTGACGATGACGTGCGAGCAGCCCGAGCGCAGGAACGCCGTGGCCATGTGCAGGCCCAGGCCTCGCGATCCGCCCGTCACGAGGGCCGTCTTGCCCTGGAGGGTGAAGGCCGTGTCGAAGTTTTTCAACTGGGACATTTTGTCGGTCGGATCTTTGAAATGAAGGGTAAGGTGCTCGATCGAATTGTCCAAGGTGTCAAAAACAAACAAGAGGAGCAGATCAAAGACACAGGAGCGGGACAATACGAGTTTACACCCAAAACATCAAAATATGGGTTCGAGTGGCAATGTGACGATTCGAGGTTGAGCTGACAGGTTCAAAGTCCGGGGTGCATGTGCAAGTGCAAGTGCAAGTGCATGGCCATGCCAGATGTTTTCCGTGGCTGTTCGGTATTAGCTTAGGCGGTCCGCAACGGGAACAGACGACCAGTCAAAACGCCCCAAAAGACAAGCAAACCCACAACTACGAAGGAAGCAAAAAGAGCCACGGCTCAACTGGGGAAGCTTTGCCTCGTTATTTGCTGCGACCCCCAGCTCTGAAGCCAACTTAGCCAAGCGAAGGGCTCTCCCACTGGCACGCGCTGGCACCGCTGATCTTGGACCGCCCCGAGCCAAGGGGGCGGCAATTCATCCCCTCCCCGAAGAGCCCCAAAGTCCAAAGAAGTCCTCCCCGTCAGTCTCGTCGGTCTTTACCCCGCAAAGTACCGGCTACCGAAGTGCTTCCGAGGGAAGATATCGGCCGATTAGAGAGGCATGGCACTCGGCACGCCGAACCTCCAGTAAAGAGCCTTGAAGTGAACCGTTTGTGGTGACTTGCTATTATCATTTCGGGCTTTTTCTTCCTTTTTTACCTTCTTTTTCTTTTTCTTTTCCTGTTATCATCTGATATGATATGTCGCTGGATGTAAGAATAGGCGACCTGGCGATAACCGACTTCAGAGCCCCTTGATATATCACCCCGTCTTGGTTCGTTTTCTCACCCATCTTCGCACTTGACACAAGAAACAAAAAAGACCGGCTCCCTTCATCTCAATTCCCTGGAGGAGCTTCTCTTTTCTTTTCTTCGTTCTACCTCACCTAGATCCCCGCCGCCATCATGATCATCAAGTCCCCTTTCCCGACACTCGACATCCCCAAGACCAACCTACTCAACTACCTCTTTCCCCCGGGCCAGGAGCCTTCCGAGGAACCGCTATGGCTCGATAGTAAGAACGACAAGATCAACTTGTCGCCCAAACAGCTTCTAGAATGGGTCAGGCGCCTGTCTTTTGGCCTTCAGAGGCTGGGTATGAAGCGCGGGGATGTGATCATGATTTGCACTCCTAATCAGATCTTCGTCCCCGTCGCTTATCTAGGTATCGTGGGAAGCGGGTGCATCTTTAGCGGTGCCAACCCGGCCTATACTGTACCTGGTGAGTTTCTCCTCCCGAACTTCGACCGTTGACTGTCGAGTCGTCAGTCCTACCCTGAGCGAGTCCTGGAAGCAAAGTGCTGACTTGGTGGCTTTCTTTTCTTTCCTTCTTGTCGTTTTACAGAACTTGTGCATCAAATGAACAACACCACAGCCAAGGTCGTTCTCGTCCACCCCTCCCAGCTCGAACGGATCCTCCCTGCCGCCGAGAAGGCCGGCATTCCCCGGAACCGCATCTTTCAGTTCTCCGAGGTCGAGAACCCGACCCGGGAAGGCATTCCCGACTGGAGGACGATGATCGGAACGCCGTCAGAAGTAAGGAACTACCGGTGGCCGGAACTGTCGCCGGAGGACTCCCTCCGCACGGTGGCGACCATCAACTACAGCTCGGGCACGACCGGTCTGCCCAAGGGCGTCTGCGTATCACACCACAACCTGATCGCCAACGTGGAACAGACCATCGTGATGCGCTACGCCAAGAAGCCGTACCCGTTCGAGGCGCGTCCGCAGGAGCGCTGGCTCGGGTTCCTGCCGCTGTACCACGCGTACGGGCAGCTCTACACGATCCTCATGGCGATCAAGCTCCACGTGCCCATCTCCATCATGAAGGAGTTCCGGTACGAGGACTTTTTGTTCACCATCGGGCGGCACCGCATCACGAGCCTGCAGATCGCGCCGCCCATCCTGGTGATGCTGTCGAAGCGGCCCGAGACGGCGCGCTACGACCTGTCCAGCGTCAAGGACGTGCTGTGCGGCGCCGCCCCGCTGTCGCGCGAGCTGCAGAACGAGTGCCAGCGCCGCTTCCAGATCCAGATCAACCAGGGCTGGGGCATGACCGAGGTGACGTGCGGCGCCATCCACGTCCCCGGCGGGGTGCGCGACGACACCGGAAGCGTCGGCCAGCTGGACCCCAACTGCGAGTGCAAGCTCATCGACGACGACGGCAACGAGGTCGCCGCGGGCCAGCCAGGCGAGATGTACGTCCGCGGGCCGAATATCTGCCTGGGCTACTGGCGCAACGAGGCGGCCACGCAGGAGAGCCTGGACAAGGACGGGTGGTTGAAGACGGGCGACATTGCCGTGTGCAATGATGAGGGTTATTTCTGGATTGTCGATCGGAAAAAGGTGGGATCCCTTGCTACGTCTATGCGATTCTTTTTTTTATTATTTTTTTTTATTTCTTTTTTTTTTTCTTCTTTTTTTTCTTTTTTTCTTTTTTCTTTTTTTCTTTTTTCTTTTTTTCTTTTTTTCTTTTTTTCTTTTTTTCTTTTTTTCTTTTTTTCTTTTTTTCTTTTTTTCTTTTTTTCTTTTTTTCTTTTTTTCTTTGTTTTCCTTTTTTCTTTTTTTCTTTTTTTTTATAAAACAAAAAAGGACATAGAAACAGAAACTAACTGGATGGCAGGAACTCATCAAGGTCAATGCCCTGCAAGTGGCGCCCGCTGAGCTGGAAGCGGTACTTTTGGAAAATGAGCACGTCGCTGATGCTGCGGCCGTGGGAATCACCGTGTAAGTTGAACGATCCCCCCTTGTTTTTCCTCATTCTTCTTTTACCCCCTCCCCCCTTTTTTTCTTTTTCTTTTTTTTTTTCTTTTTTCCTTATCATTTCTCTTGGCCCTTGCTACCTCACTATCTATCCCCCTGTCTGCGCGTCAGTGCCGAACAGAAACTGACATGATCGACAAACCACAGAAATGGCGACGAGCGGCCGAGGGCGTACGTGGCGATCCAGGAGGCTTCCAAGGGCAAGGTGACACCAGAGGACATCCAGGAATGGATCAAGCCTCGGGTGGCCAAGCACAAGTGGCTCACGGGCGGCGTGGTATTCGTCGACGAGGTGCCCAAGCTGGCGAGCGGGAAGATCCAACGGAAGACGATGCGGGACTGGGCCAAGAGGGATGCGGCCGTCTTGGAGGCGGAGCTTAAGAAGAAGGGGGCTCCAAGGGCGAGGTTGTAAGGAGGCGGGGGAAATGGAGATGCTATGCTATGGAAGGACAAGGACGGGATAGCGGCGGGGTTTCTACCACACGGCAATTTATTTCTTTCTTCGCCTGTTTCTTTTCTGGGCAGGCCGCGTAGATCGCTAGCTACAGGTAGATTATGCACTCAGAGAGTCAATGATACAATACACATAGAATATTTCCCGCCTGGTGTGGTTGCAGAGAGGATGCAAGTTGGTTTGGATTGGACTACGAATGATAAGCCATCTTCTCGGTCGATTTCCGCTCACCGGTCAAGGAGGCAACGGCAGCAGTGGGCAAGTTGCAACTGGTGGCAGCCATGTGTCGTATTCGAAGTGGGCAGATGCACTCTCTATGCATGAAGAAGAAAAAACTGCAACTACACATTTGGTGCGAAGCGATAATCCGCGGTGGGTATTGGGACATTGGACATTGGCATTAGTGGGCACCCAGGGGAAGCCGGGTGATGTTTACCGGCAGCCGTGGGAAGCATGTCAAGCATCTTCACCTACCCTTTGTACAAGTACACCCCACAGACCCTTCCCCGCATAATTGAGGATGTTTATATTCCATGGTTGGGGGGGGGGGTCATTGTACTCAGGACGCTAATGATGCAGCGCTGCAGACGGTCGGGTGCAGCTCCTGTGGAGCCTTGCCTTGGGGGGCTGGGAGCGGGGTCATGTGTGACATTGCAATGTGGGGTATGGTACGAAGTACATTGTTCGAGGACGAGAAGGAGAACAAGAACGTACCTTGACTCCGTGCAGTTCAGGGCCTTGCCTTTTGCGTCCATGGGCGAACTCCCGTCTTTCTGCTCTCACCATTTTCTCTTTCTACGCATGCGCATATCTCCTTTCGATGAAGTGACCGGCGTACACAGAGGCAAAAGAAAGGGGAGGGAACAAGAGAGTTGTTACAGCAGCAAGCAAGCGGCAAGCCCACTGAACAGGACCGACGAGGCGAGAAACCAAAGCATAGGATGGCCGTATCGACGGGTCTCGGGGGGTTTATCATGTCCGTCGACCGACTAAGATGCGTTTTCTTTTACATATACTCGTCTCAGCAAGAGTGACCTCGTGCGCATCCCACATTCAACCGAGATGAGGTGAAAGGAGCAAGGCACAGCGGACGAAGATGGCCGGCCTTCCCAACCGATTGCTCCGTTGTGCCAGGGCTTTTCGGGTCCCGTTTAGCGTCAGTGCCGGGCGACTAATGATGCATCCGCAAGTCTTGTTCCTTGGGATTGCACGGTCCAAGCATCAACGCGGGAGACCAGTGCCGAATAGCTCTCCACTCCCACTGGGACTGGACTGGGGTTGATGATCTGATGTCTAGCTACCTATTGGATTCGCCCCCATCGTACCGGACTTTCTCCTGCCACGCGGTCACGGCATGCCCCGAGAAAAGGCACCTTAATCGTCTTAGCTCTGGACGGAGAGAGAGCGTCAGCCAGGGGACCATTGATACCCCGCGATCCGGATCCCCATCTAGGGCTCTCCTGGCTAGTGGGTTTTTTTCTTTTTTTTTCTTTTTTCTTATTTCGCTACCCGTTGCCTCGAGTCAGATCCGGGGCCTGTCCTTTGGTTTAACAGCTGCTTCCTGTGTCATGAAATCCTCTCAGACACCGGCTACATGACTCAAACTCATCCGTTCCTTCGGGGCACCCCAGGATTCCCCGTGTACAACGCACGCCATCCCACCCTTGCCTCCACTCCCGCTATCTTCTCCAATTGGGACGGCATGGGGGGAAATTTCCCGACATAGGCTGCCTTTGAGTTGTCACCAAGCTGCGGAACAGACCGCCAGAGCATCATAGCGAGGTCAGGTCAGGTCAGGTCAGGTCAGGGCATTATGTGGCCGACATGCTCGCCTTGCATGTCTGAGGCTAGGGTCTAACGACCGATGCTCTGCCGCCCCCCCGCCCCCTTAGTGTAACCCTTAGGATGGGGGATGCTGGAAAACGCCAGCCTTCCCTACCCATTGCCTACTCGCCTCTTCGTGCCATAATAACGGCATGCCATGCCTTTCACCGTCTCTGCACTCCATCCCCGCTAAGCTGTGGACAGACCTGGTCTTCCTGCATATATATCTTCAGTAGTTCGCAACCATCTCTGCCCATGCACTTCATCATCCTCACATCTCTACAACTCTTCCCTTCTGCGGTTTGTCTGCCTCCCTCTCAAGTATTCAAGTGGCCGTTGGAGAGTTGAGCATTTGTCTTCTCTGTCCTTTTTTGCCCCTTATTAACCCTGTCCCCTTTTCCCTCATCATTACCGGGATACACGACAAACCCACCCACACACACATATATATCACAATGGCCAACTACGTGTCACCAGAGTCGATCAAGGCGGGAGCTCGCGATACCTCCCAGAGACTCGACAATCCCATCCACAATGAGAGACAGATCCGTGTCATCTGCATCGGCGCCGGTGCCTCCGGTCTTCTGGTCGCCTACAAGCTGCAGAAGCACTTTACCAACTACTCCCTGACCGTCTACGAGAAGAACGAGGCCGTAGCCGGCACCTGGTTTGAGAACAGGTATCCTGGGTATGTATCTCCAACAAGGCATAACGAAAACAAGACGAAGAAATACGGGCCATGCTGACTCGGAAGAATAGCTGCGCTTGCGACGTCCCCTCGCACAACTACACTTGGAGCTTCGAGCCCAACCTCAGCTGGTCCGCCGTCTACCCCCCCTCCAACGAGATCTTCGACTACTTCGAGGGCTTCGCCAGGAAGTACTGCCTGCACCAGTACGTCAAGGTGCGCCACCAGGTCGTCGGCGCCGCCTGGGACCACGTCAACGGCGGCTACACCGTCCAGGTGCAGGACCTGGCCACCGGCAAGATCACCACCGACCACTGCGACATGCTCGTCAACGCCGGCGGCGTGCTCAACCACTGGAAGTGGCCCGCCATCCCCGGCCTCGACAAGTACAAGGGCGTCCTCCTCCACACCGCCAACTGGGACGAGTCGGTCTCGCTCGAGGGCAAGGTGGTCGGCCTCATCGGCAACGGCTCCTCCGGCATCCAGGTCCTCCCCGCCATCCGGGACAAGTGCAAGAAGGTCACCACCTTCATCCGCGAGCCCACCTGGGTCTCCCCCGTCCAGGGCATGGAGCAGCACAAGTACACGCCCGAGGAGCGCCGCGCGTTCGCCGAGAAGCCCGGCGCCCTGCTCGACTACCGCAAGAACATCGAGTCCGGGCTCAACGGCCAGTTCGGCATCTTCCTCAAGGAGAACCGCGTCAACATCGACACCCACGCCTACATGAAGCAGCAGATGAAGGAGAAGCTCAACAACGCCTTCCTCGAGGAGAAGCTCATCCCCGACTGGAGCGTCGGCTGCCGCCGCCTGACCCCCGGCGTGGATTACCTCGAGTCCCTGACCAAGCCCAACGTCCAGGTCGTCTACGGCGAGATCCTCGAGGTCACCGAGAAGGGCTGCCTCTGCGACGACGGCAACGAGTACCCCGTCGACGTGCTCATCTGCGCCACCGGCTTCGACACCTCCTTCCGCCCCCGCTTCCCCGTCGTCTCCCCCTCGGGCGAGAACCTGCAGGACAAGTGGGCCAAGGTGCCCGAGTCGTACCTGGGCATCGGCGTCGCCGGCTTCCCCAACTACTTCTGCATGCTGGGCCCCAACTGCCCCATCGGCAACGGGCCCGTGCTGTCCGCCATCGAGGCGCAGTGCGACTGGATGCTCAAGATCATGGACCGCTTCCAGAGCACCAACATGGCGCGCATCGCGCCCAAGGAGGAGGCCGTGCGCGACTTTGTCGAGTTCAAGGAGTGGTTCATGAAGCGCACCGTCTGGTCCGACCCGTGCCGCTCTTGGTACAAGCCCGGCCCGGACGGCCCCGTCGTCGCCCTCTGGCCGGGCTCCACCCTGCACTACATCGAGGCCATGAGCCACGTCCGCTTCGACGACTTCGACATCACCTACGCCGGCAACCGCTTCGCCTTCCTCGGCAACGGCTACTCCCAGACCGAGCTCGACCCGACCGCCGACTGGGCCTACTACATCCGCGAGCGCGACGACGACGCCCCCCTCTCCACCGGCGGCAGGCGCAAGCTCATCTCCAAGACCGGCACCGTCACCACCCGGGACGTTGTCGTCTTTAGCGGCAACAAGGAGGAGGCGGAGCGCGTCAAGGCCGAGACTTCGGCGAAGCTCTGAGCGGAGCAGAAGAAAAGGATGGTGGTGATGAGATGAGAGGATCCCGCGGTGTACTGGTATAAAGAGGAATTGCGTGGACCGTGTTCGTGTTTGTTGGAAAGGAGGGGGGAGTTAATTATGTAAACTTTGTTGTTTCTGTCGGCATAGACACGGCGGACGGCAGTTTTCTGTGTCTATTGTATATAGCCATTTTTCGTCTTGTCTTGACCGGGCATAGCAGTAGCATTCTTTATGATACATGTTTCCAGGCCAGCGCCTGACAACCACCTGGTTGCCCAGCTTGAACCCTCTGACCGTCACTTCCAAACACGACAACTGGTATATGAAGCGACGATAGGTGAGGTCCCTCGTAGCGATGGGAATTGGGCGGTGGATAATTGGGTTTCCGTGATACCGGCAGGAAACGAGAAAGCTGAGCAGAGGCAGCGGCAGCGGCCAGAGACCCCGGGAACCCGAGGAAAGCCATCGCCCCGTCTACCCGTCACTCTATCGCGAAGCCTCTTCTTGTGCCGCCTATGCCGGTTCCGGTTCCGTGGGTGTTGGCATCACCTTTCGCTCCTTGCCTAGGATAACTAGAATCGGAACACCACGTACGTCAGTCAGCCTCGCGAACCCCCTTCTCCCGCAGAAACCCCATCACCAGAACCGGGAAGCGCGACTGCAAAAGGACGGGCGAAAAGAACTCACTTCGATTAAAGAGCACGTAAGACGTAACAATGAAAATCGGCAAGGCGATGAGAGCAGCCATCCAACGCCTCGCCGCGCGGTTGTAGGCCTTCTTGTATTCCGGGCTCGCCGGGTTCAACGGCCGCTGTGCCGCTGGGGGTTGTTTCCGCGGAGGGACGATGGACGAAGCGGGTGTGACTGGCTTGTTCATGGGTGTCGACGCTGCCGTGGTGGCGGAACTGGAGGCAGTTGCGTCTGGTATTGTCCGTGTACTGTTGGCGGGTTTGGCGGGTTTGGGGACGACGATCTTGCGGACAGGTGCGGGGGCGCCGGGTTGTGAGCTGGTCGCGTATGTCCGCAGAGCTGCTGCTCGCCAGTACGTTCTTGTAAGTGGAAGACGCATTGGGATCGGTTCGGGCGGTGTTGGAGGTCGCGACCGGTTTCAGGAGGACGTCGTTGAGGTGTCGCACAGGGGGGGCTTTATGGGGATTATCAGGGAGTTGGAGGCTTCGATCGTCGGGATTAAAATGAAAGGACGATGGTCATTGCGAGGGTGGAAGTAGTTTTTCCAGTGGCAGGTTCGTGGATCGCGTCCTAGTTGGCGTGTAGCCTTGAATTCGTCGGGCAATTGCCGCCACCTAAAAAGGTCGGTTTGGTGGTGGGTTTTATTAGTGAAGAGCTTCGGCTTCTTGACCGAGGTCTGAAGCTGTGAAAACCTCAGACCCACTTTGACTGCGCCACATACTGCTGTGGCACTGTGTATTGAGCAGACCGTAGTTTTACGGTTACGTAACGGGCACGGATTTGACCGAAGGATTATAACCTTAGTAATCCAAGTAGACACCTGCAGAATCTTTACTATAAAGATTATGGTATGAATAGTTCCCCGACGGTCCTGCGCAGTTACAATTACATATAATAATCTTAATTAATTTTAACCCTATTTTTACTAGAGCGCCGGGCTTATAACTATTAGAAAATAAATAAAGTACGGAAATTATATATATATTTATCTAAGTGACGTTCGTGGTACTTCACGGAGATATCTAATTATTAGGAAAAATTAGGGGGAAATGAGTATAGATATATAGGATTATGGTACTCCACACGTCTGATATTTTTATATTTTATCACAGCTTGATATGGTGGCTATGGGCATCTGACACTTTGCTTCAGACGTGAAGGCAGAGGTTATATAAACTCGAGACTCGTCTTACTTGACTAGAAATCACGATTAATCAGGCTTTAGCGGTATCCAAACGATCAAGTGATTCAAGTCATGCCTTTGCTTCCATCGAGTTCGCGTTTCCCTGATCGGAACCAGCTCGAACTGCTCATGACCAGTATACGTGATACGTCGTGCGATGAGTTGAATATGGTTTTGGTTGGGTGGTGAACAACCATTCCGAATGCCTGCCCTTGAGGACTTACACGCCATGTCTGCGTGTCTGATGGGCGTCACAATTTCACTCAAAGAGTCAACAGCCTGCGAGAGTCGAGACGGTTTCACATGTCTTCAACAACTCTCCATGGAGCACGTATAATGATCTTGATGTGACAATGGACAGCAGGCGCGGGTCATGTTCCGAAATAGAAGCCACCTACTGAAACATATCTCAGAATTCCGTATTATGATCTGTACTACGAGAGAGAAAGTTTTGGAGTCCATCATCGCATCGGACTTTGGGGCACAATCTAGAGATTCGGCCCAAGTAGCCTCGTAGGTCCCAGAGTTCATATGAAGCAGTCACAAGTGGTGGCTTCGCACGAGGTCCGGCAATGTTCTATTGTTATGACCAATGACCAAAGAGGCTTCGCAATAGAGAGAAACAACTATGAAGCAATGGTGGTATTCTCTCTCTTAGACCAAACGACCTTCCAGAAAGATACCCTAGAGGCAACAATATCAAAGGTAATCATTACATGTTTATAAACACGGGCCCCTGGGTTGGATAATTGCTACGACAGCCATACCACCCCTGAAATGGTCGATGCTCATGGTCTTTGCCCCGTTGTGATGGTTCTCTTCTTCTTTCTTTTCTTTGCTTTTCTTCCTTCGTTGCCGAGTGTGCGTTCATCTATTGCACCAAGTCTCGGTAAGATATTCCTTGGTATCAAGATGGTTACCATCTTACACCATGACCCGGAATACATAGCAGTTTGGTGTCACAATAAATGTTACTTATATTCGTTCTCTTCCGCAAAAGGTCGAGGGCAATGCCATGCCAGCCCATCCATAAACCCCAATTAAAAAAAACACTATTTGGCAACAAACCAACCTTACGCCGCGGCCATCTCAAGTCGCCAAAGGCGAATGAATCCTCTCAAACCTAGGCCGAAGCCGGCGCTCCACACCCTTGGCCATCCTCTCGAGGGGCAAGCGATGCTCGACGGCGCGGACGGCGCGGGCGACGGGCGGCTCGACGCGCTTGATGGCGCGTTCGGTCGTCGGGCAGACGTAGTTGATGTTCTTCTCCCAGCGGGGCGCCCACTTGGCGGTCTGGTTGGCCAGGCGCTGGTCGGCGCCCGGGTACATGAAGTAGAAGGGCGCGAAGCCGCCTACGGTGGCTACGCCGTAGCAGATGGCTTCGCCGGACTTGATGGCGAGACCGAGGGGCATGGTGAGAGGCATGGTGATCGGGTTGTTGTCTGAGGAACAAGACAGATATTAGATTTTGGTTGTGAGATGATGGAGATGGGCGAAACTAGGGGTGATCAAAGAGGGGACGATGATAGGTGGGGGGTGGATTCTCCTAATGCATAAACGAAGGAGAGGATGGAAACGTACGTCAAGAAGATGGAAGTTGATGCTGCGGTGAGATGTGGCGATTTTTTACGACAAGACTAGACTGTAACTTGACGGTTTTGCAAGTCAACTGGTTCTCTGGATCGTGAAGTTGGTCGATGTAAGACGTGGTGCTTGTCGGGACTCGGGCCGTGTAGGTCTCGAAGGTAGATAGGAGCCGAGTGAGGATGATTCTGATGATAGTAATTTGATGGAAATGGCGTAGATGGATAGCACGGGTTTGAATACCGGGCTAAAAAGGCGATGGTTGCACGAGAGGGAGAAAAAGGGCGGCACAGGCGAGAGAGGAGAACAGCATACCCTTTTAAAGAGGGCAACCTGGAGAGAACTGGAGAGATCAAGGGCGGGCGGGTTGGGCACACACCTCATACAAGTGGCACACCACCTCAGCCAGCCAACAAGTTACTTGGTACAGATCAACTCGCCGTTTCCTACGTGAGAAAGAGGGAAAGAATGTGGTCCGACCTGGGTCGCCCGGTGAAGCGTGCGGGGTAAGGAGACGTAAGTCACGTAACAAAGCAGGGGAGACCGGGAGAGTACAAGGTCGTAAGGCGTATTGCGAACCAGATGACAAGGTATCTGGGATGAACTCCCTTCATCTATTCGAATCTACCTGTATTCGAGCCATCCATCACGAGCAGATACGCCACAACACGTTGACCAATGGTTGAAACCTTAACCAGGGTTGCGAGGCAGTGACTGGTTGATCGCTGAAAGCCATATGCGACGGCGAGGGCACAAGGTTTCAGGCAAGAAGGTGATTGTTTCGTCATTGGGTTCGCCGAGTGTACGGCGAAAAGACCTCCATTTCCTCCCGCGTAGGAGGAATGTAATAATGTATGCTTTGGTTACCTGTAAGTCGCTTGAAAACCCGAATATACTGTGAGGTTTTATTCGAGAATGATTCCGAAGGGCCTTAGTATCGAGAATGTTCCAAGACCACTCGGTAAGCAAGATGGTTTTTGATTGCGAGATTGAAGCCGTTTCTGTGCTGACCGTCCTGCAATATGATATCCCCTGACCCCCTTATTCCAGCGCACACGGCACACCCAACCGACAGGGAATCCGGGGGAGGCCCACACTGCAGTCAAGCAAGAATGGGCCCACTGGCACTAACAGAAGGATCGCTAGGGCGAGTGGGGATCAGAGCCCACTTCCCCGGATGCGATGGCGAAAAGTGGCCCCTCGAAGTCTGGGGAAATCAAAATCAAAGGCCAGGTAACTTAGGCTGGGCGCCGCCCCAGGACCCCTTCGGAGCCCCGCCCGGGTAAGTCGAAGACAAACGAATGACCGAACGCCAACACCTGGACAGGATGTCGTCGATACCTACGTGTACTTCGTGAAAGCGATTAATTACAAGCACCATAAACCAAATGACGATTTAAAATTGAAACGGAACAAATAAACGACAAATCTTTGGGGAATGGGGGCTTGTAGTCGACCATAGCAGCAGGGGGTTTACAGAATTACTGTACACTAGGAGGTGCTTGGATTTCCAGGCAATTAATTCCAATTGCTGTCGCGTGCTTCCGCGGTCCCCGCCCATAAGGCCCGACCGGGAGCAGTACCGGATGGCCTTGGTGTCAGAACGTTCCCCCCAGCTGCACCTCTACACGTTATAGGCGCCAATTTCAGGGGTCGGATGGGGTTGCTCCGCCCAAACATAACGCTACGTTTCCTATTTGCAGGCGTCCAGACACTAACTTCTGTGAATCCATTTCCCCTTGCCATTGGAGTGGATCTTCTTCACCGAAAGGTTAACTATTATCATCTGCTATTTGCAATGCACGTAGGTAGTTTGCCATAATTCTTAAAGACTGTAAATTGCCGTAGTTTTCGACCGCGCCAATGACCACCGACTTTGCCCACGACTTTGCCCACGACTTTGCCCACGACTTTGCCCACGACTTTGCCCACGACTTT